TGGGGGTATCTAGGTATACCCAATATCGCTTGCGCGACTGCATTCCGGACCAACTGCAGTCTTTGAACACTCTTCAGGGGCAGCCCCATGTAGAGCGCGTTACAGTAATCCAGTCTTGAGGTGACGAATAAATAAGCAAGTCATGAGAAACAGGTTAAAGATTTTAAGCACAAGAAAAAATATACATGCCTGCTGTCAGTTAACACTGGGATTTACAAAATGTTACAAAATGTTAAACATCCCAAATAACAGGAGATCTTTGAAGAATGTAGCCAGAAGTTAGTAACTAAATGTCAACAGCCTCAGTAATGATATCTGCTCCTATGGATAAAATACGTCTAATAGATGTTAAAGAATGAATGACAGATTTGGAAAAATTTTATCTAGCAAGATAGAGAAATAACAGCAAGTGAAACTACAAATGACAGGCCAAGGGAAGAATTTGGAAAAGGGCACTTTACTAGATATACAAAAAGAAAATGGCTGATGTTTTAAAAAGTAAAAGGGAAATACAAATGATAAATCAGGAGAACGATCTTATTGGATCTAGAAGAAAAAAGAAGTCTGTGTGACGGGATAAAAAAGAATTGAAAGTGAAATCAAATAACATTACAATCTCAGATTGTATTAAGATTTATTTGTTACAAATAAATTTATTATAGATTTATTTATTTATTTATTACAAATAAAAGGAAGGAACAGAATCTGGTTTTTTATTAAAGTGAAAATAAGGCTTGTTTTGCAATGTTCTGGCAGGATTAAAACATTTGTGTACTATGGAATTGCTTACAGATAAGGTATAGGATATGTAATGAAGAGATAATGTTTAATCCTATAGGGAGTAAAGAGTTATTCTTATAATGGAATTCAGAAGTCTTTATATTTCTTTATATTTTTCTTTATTATATTCATTTTCTTCTGTCTTCCTTTTCCTTCCTTTTTAATGTTTTCCATTCTCTTTTCTTTCTCTAAGTTTAATTTGTATTAATATTTACTATTGTAATTACAATTCTTAATACAAATTATATTTTTAAAAAGAGTTGATAAAAATGTACAAATCATTACCATCAGATCCCCCAAAACAACTTTTGAAATTATTTATCATCTTTCCATATTTGTGATCCCCATGAAGCCCACTATCCCATCTCTTTCCATTTCAAACTCTTGTCCTTACTTTTCTAAATTTCAATTTTTTTCATCCAATGCTCATTAACTCAAACTATGTTTAGATGTCCTTTAAACTTTTACTATTGTGTCCGGCAATTTTATTATACATTGTAATTTAAAACATACATCAGCCTCCTGTGCATCGCCTGCTGTGTTATGAGGATCTGGATAATGTTTCAGAAACTGTGCTACGTAAGTCATAATTGATTTTTCATCTGGTTTATCCACATCCACATCTGGGGAAAAAAATAAAAAAAAATAGAGTAAAAATAAGACATAAAAATAAATGCTGTTTTTGTCACATGTGAAATAAAAGATCAAACCATTTATAAATTTTCTAAATTGTTTTAAATTATATATTAAGTGTTACCCTACCTTCAGGATCAAGGAGTCTTGGGATTCCCAGTTCTGATTCTGCAATTGTAAAGGCCTCTTCCAAATTTTTTTTGTTAGATTGTGTTTTTGCCTTCTCCAAATCCACTAGTTCTGGACAGATAGCATGAATAACTGAATGAAAGGCAATACCACTTCTCCAGCTTTGTCCAAAATCCTTGACTTCAATCCCACTTTGCCTTAACAATAAAAAAAAATCACACTACTAACTTGAACAAGCTTATTGTTGAACTTCTAGCATTAAACCATTATATTAAAGGTATATTTGCAGTGTTTATTAAATGAATAATCTTTTTTGATTCAATTATCTATAATTTCTGATTCCATTTTGCTTTTAAACAAACTCTAATTTAAATATAATTTAATTTATATCTATAGAATTTCTACATGATAAATTCAGAAATTCTGCCTGTGGCGCAATAACTTTCAAAATATTTGAGAACTGTAACATTACAGCAGAGGACCTAAATAGGGTAAGAAAGAAAAACCAGTGATATTTCTTGTAATTTTCCTTGAGTGTAGTATATTTTGTGTGCATGAATGTATAAACAAGATCTGCAAGGAAGTTCCTCTCAAGATTGCCCTCAAATGGAGACCTCTCTAACTGTGAATCTAGTAGGGTCTTTTACTTCATCATAGCTAAATAATGGGATGCATTTTCTATTGAACTGGTCTTTTTCCTACTCCTTAGGAAGCCCCATCTGTTTGTCCAGGACTTTATTATCATTTTGTAAAATTATGTGTTTTGTATTCTTATACCTATTAGCTGCCTTGAATTTTCAGTTGAAATAAAAAAGGAGATGTAATTTGCATACAGAAAAACATTAATTTTCTCTTACACATTTATGTTTAGTTTTATGTTGCTAAATTATTGTTCAATTATCTCATGTTTCAATGTTCTAGTCATATATTCAGTCAGTGACATGGAAACACAAGTATTTTNCGTCCTAGGCCCCTGGGTGGGGCCCGACTAGTAACCAATGCCAAATCTGGCAAAACAACTGGCCGCTGTGATACAATTGTATAATAATAATAATATCAATGAAGGAGAATATTTGTAGCTCCACATTGAAATGAGACATCCTTGATGCCCTCTGAGCTTGTTTTTTTTTTTTTTTGCAGATGTTTCATTACTCTAATTAGGTAATATCATCAATGCTAGTGATCAACTAGATAGTCTAAGAAGAAGGTAGCCATACATAATAACAAATCCAAAGAACTGGATCCACACAATTCATTTAAATCAAAAATAAAGAAACCATATACTGTTAGTGTTCCCTGAGTCATGGAACAATCATCTTTGCCAATGAATATTTTGTGAAAGTCAGCCATCAATTGAGGCTACTATCTTATCAATGGAGGGAAAAGGATTCTCCAAACTTAATCAAGAGGAAATTCATGACTTTAATAAAACAAACTTGAAAATGTCACAGCTCTTTGTGTCAAACATTTCTGCAAAGGCTATGACTATCTCAGGCTCTGTGCAATATCATCTAGCTTTGTAAATCCATATTTGGACACTTTCTTTATTTATCACTTTAGAAATACGTAAATATAAGTGTGCAAGAGATGAAAAAATGTACAGCAACTTTTTTTCAATTTCTGAATAATGTGTTTATTTCAAAAATGCATGTTTTAATATGAAATTGGAACACTCACAAACATTTTGCTTAGCTTTACACACAGATAAATATTGGTAGGAATACTTGTGTCTTCTAAACTTACTTGAGAAGTAACTTTGTCCCAGGCTTGCTTCACCAGAGCTTGATCAAGGGAAAGTTTTCCATCCTTTCTTAAAGACTGGATTGCACGTTCAACTTGTTTCCTCTTTGCTTCATATTGTGCTTTGCAATGCTTGAACAACTGCAGGAAATATATAAGAACAAGGACACAGTGTTATTCATTCATATACCAAATTTCTAACGCTGCTGTCCTCAATGTAACTATGGGCAGCATGCAGTATTAAAAAGAGTACAAAAACATAAATAATCTTTATAAAAAGAAAAAAAATGCAAGGTTACCACTACAACATCTAAGTGCAGAATCTAAGTGCAGTGTTCTTCAGTCTTCTTCAGCCCATTGCCTCTTTATTTGTTGGACTAAAACTCCTTTACTTTATACAGTCATCATAACTTTTTGGCTGACATAGCCTTTCTCTATCACATTCTGTTCTTCTGCTGGAACTAGAAAATCAGAAATACCTGGTATTTTTCTTGTAAGCTTGCTTCCGTCATTTGTGTCCTTGACAAATCTCTTTCGTATTGTTCAATCCAAATTTTCAGATCTCTTAGCATCAGTTGATCTTTCTATGACAAATAAAAAGAGCATTTAATTTGCAACTCCCATCTGTAAAAAGATCAAGGAATTTGAAATAAACAGCAAAAAGCTAAGCAAGATTTTGATGTAAGAAATATATAAATAAATTAAGAGTCCTGATAAATTTGGAATATTGACTTTTACTATAAGATTTTGGAACTAACATAAGATTTAGATTTTAGATTTATTAACATTCGTATGCTGCCCACTCCCATTGGGACTCTGGGCGGCTCACAGACAAAACAAAAAGATACATATATTAAAAAATTTAAAATAAGGATACAAGTATTAAAATTTCACACCATGCATACTGTTAGAGTGGGGCTGGATACTAATCAACAGCCCCAGACCTGCCGGAACAGCGAGGTCTTAGTGGCTTTATGGAAGGCCAGAAGAGTAGTAAGGGTCCGGATCTGTACGGGTAGATCGTTCCAT